TAAAAAACTAAAAATAGAACTACCATATGACCCAGCAATCCCACTACTGGGCATACACCCTGAGAAAACCATAATTTGAAAAGATACATGCACCCCAGGGTTCACTGCAGCACTGTTTACAATAGCCAGGACATGGAAACAACCTAAATGTCCATTGACAGAGGAATGGATAAAGAAGATGTGGTACATATATACAATGGAATATTGCTCAGCCATAAAAAAGAATGAAATAATGCCACCTGCAGCAACATGGATGGACCCAGAGATGATCATACTAAGTAAATCAGACAAAGACAAATACCATATGATATCACTTACGTGTGAAATTTAAAAGAAAAAGGGAAAAAAAGATACAAATGAACTTATTTACGAAACAGACACAGGGAAAACAAACTTATGGTTACCAAAGGGGAAACGTGGGGGGCAGAGGAGAGATAAATTAAGAGTTTGGGATTAACATATACACACTACTATGTATGTAATAGATAATCAACAAGGACCTACTGTACAGCACAGGGAACTCTACTCAATATTCTGTAATAACCTATGTGGGAAAAGAATCTGAGAAACAGTGGATATATGTATAACTGAATCACTTAGCTGTACACCTGAAATAACATTATAAATCAACTATACTCCAATGTAAAATAAAAATTAAATTAAAAAAAAAAGAGAAGAAAAGAAAACCACAGTCCTGCAACTTGTGGACCCAGCACGCCCAGAGCAGGCCAGATCCGCCCTGGGACCAGCTGGGCCCCGGGCCTGCCCACTGGCAGGTCACCGCAAGCTTCAGGACACCCTGGACCCCAGACCCAACTGTGTCAGGAACCGCCCCCCCACCCCCACCCCCAGCCATCCAACACCAGCTCTGGGACCCCTGGGCCCTGCAGCCAGACTCCAGGACCCGGCTCCGCCTGCCAGTAGACAGGCACTAACCCCAAGACCTGGCTTCACCCGCCAGTGGGTGGGCAACACCCCAGGGTCTTCGGGGCCCCGACTCTGCCCACCAGTGAGCCAGCACTAGCCTGGGGTCCCCTAGGATCCCACAGCCCGCCGCCTCGTGACCAGACCCCGCTAACCAGCAGCCAGCGGCATCCACACAGGGCAAGGCCTGGCAAGCAGCCAGGCCCACCAGGCGCCCCACGTGGTCAGCCCCCTGCCACAGGAGGGCTCACGCAGCCCCCCCACCCCCACCCCCCAGAGCATGTAGCTCGGGTGACGAGAGGAGAGAGCACCGCTGGGACACACGGGACGTCTCCTACACAGGCCCCCTCTCCAAGGTCGAGAAACGTAACTAGCAGACATAAAATACAAATGGCAACTCAGACAAACCGAGGGGGCAAAGCAACATGTTCCAGAGGAAGGAAAAGACAAAGCCCAGAAGAACTAAGTGACGTGGAGTCGGGCGACCTGCCCAAGGAAGAGTCCAGAGCAGTGATCCTAAGGATGGTCCAAGAACTCGGGAGGAGGACGATGCCCAGAAAGATTGCGGATTTCAAGCCAGCAACAGCAGAACACTAAACCCAAGGGGGCCCTTGGAGGTGTGGCCTGGGTGAGGGCACGGGCGCCCACCAAGAAGTGGGCCCTGCGCCTATAACCCCAGTTCCAGGCTCCAGCCTGGCCCAGAGAGAGCACTGGTCCCCCCACCCCCCACCCCTCCCTGGACAGATATTTACCAGGGACCCCTGGAAAACACACAGAGGTCTGACGCGAGGACCCAGCTCCCGCAGCTCAGCTCCAGTGGGGGGACAGGGCTATGGAGGGTCCACAGAGTGGTCAAGTCAGATGGCAGTGGCTGTGCTGCAGGAGGGGTGGCGGGGGCCAGGGAGTGGGTAGCTCTACACAGGGTGGTGGGAAGGCTCCACAGAGAGGCTGGCGTGTGGCCACGGGCCCAGGCAGGGCCTGCAGGCTTGGGAGGGCCGTGGCCGCCTCTGCATGAGATGGGACCACGAGTGTTGGAGTGGGAAGGGCCACCGCCTGACTCGAACACCCGCTCTGGTGGCTATGTGGGAAAAGACCAACGGGACACAAGTGGGGCGATGGGGCACCCAGAGGAGGCTGCTGTGGCCACCGGCAGGAGGGGACAGTGACTGCCCTGGGGCCAGTGGGGCCAGAGGGAGATGGTCTGCCTGGACAGACAGGCAGCCGACAGCCTCTGCTTCTGGGTCAGGCGCAGGGGGGACGGAGGGAGGGGTGCAGGCACCCGCCCGAGCTGGGGTCTCCTGCGCTCAGGTGGGTGAGGCAGAGGTGCAGCCACGGGGGGCGGAGATCAGAACTTGTCTCTACATTGTCAGAAGTTATGTGGGACTGTGGAGGAGGGTCAGCCGTGGAGCCCAGAACTGGGGTGGCCTGGCCCCTGGTGGCAGCGGTGGCCGAGTCTGTACGAGAAAGCTGGCGTGCAGTCCGCTCCGCAGGAGGGACGGTCAGGTCCGCATACTGGGGTGTATCGGGGGACCGGCCCAGACCCCCAGTGCAGCCTCTCAAAGGGCCGCTGGTCTCTCCGCAAGGGACTGTTGCGGTCAGATCACACAGACAGGCAGACGACACCATCAGAAAACATGTGGTTTATTAGGGTTAGCTGTGGCAGAAGTTGGTGCTTTAATAGTTCTAAACTGATACATGGGTCCCCACTAACAGCTTACGTGTAGGAAGGTGGCTGAGCAGCAGCAATGACAATAACCAGTAAATTGCTTATGATCCTAACGGGTTGATGCCAGCAGTGGTGAAGGAAGAGCAGGAGGGTGGGGCCCTGCAGGGGGTTTCCAGAGCTCTCAACACAAGCCCCAGGGCCCCCAAGAGCCACGGGGAAGCTGGGGTCACCACCCCCCATCCCAGCAAAGGAATGGGCCCTGGCGGGGTTGGGACCTCCAGTGGCTGGAGATTTTCTCAGGCATGAAACCACTGCGTGTGGCCCAGCACAGCCTCTGAGTTACGGGGCGGCACGGAGTTCACAGGTGTGCTTGGGCCCAGCGTCCCGAGTAATATGTCCGTCCTCCCAGGCGTGGTTTGGAGAGGCTGCATGTGCAGGGCCCCTCTGTGGCCTCTGTCCTCCTGTCACCTCGAGGCCAGGCCATGTGTAACCTCGCTTCCTTTCCAAACCCAGCTCCCCTGCACCACGGCGATGGCATGGCGGTGGCGCTCCAGGAATCGGCACGGAGCCGCCAACACGGAGGGTGACCCCAGTTCAAGACTTTCTCGGTGCGGCAAGGATGGGAGGGTGCTCCCTGGGGGCCTCCAGACGCTGCTGCCTGCACCCCTGACTCAGCAGGTGGACGTACCCTGTGTCCCCTCCCAGATGAGGAAACAGTCCTGGTTTCAAATAACTTTTTTCTTTTAAATATGGGTGATTCTTTAACCAGATCTGTAAAGGTGACTGAATATGCCTCTGTAAGAGCTTTCAAATAAATAAATTCATGCATCGAAAGATTACTGGTCAAACCACGTGCCTGGTATTTAATCTGGGATATGGCCTTGCCATGGCATGCTTCTGGGGTGGGGGCAGGCTGTGACCTGCGGGTGGGACGGCTGGGCGCCTGGGGTTTGTGGGTGGAGTTTCTCCCCTTCCTTAGCTGAGAGCAGGAACTTTCTCATGGCTGCCCAGCTGGGGAGGTAGGGCCGACCTCTCTTTGCATTTTCTACATGTTTTTCTCCTCCAAAGAGAAGCCAGAGGAATAAGACGAGGCGATGAAGCCGCTCTCTGTGGGGACCCAGGAGCCGTCCCCCGGGGCTGGGTGCCTGGGCGCCTCTCCCTCCCAAGGGGCAGGGGCAGCAGGACACGCACCAAGGCCCCCGCCAGCTGACCGTCGCTGGGGTGAGCAGCTCGGGGGCCCTTGGAGGTGGACCCAGAAGCAGACCTGGAAGAACACTGGCACACGTGGGGCGTCAGCTCCCAGCGCTGGAGGGGGAGGGGAGGGGGGAAGCCCTAGCCCCAGCCTCTGCGTCAGGCAGGGAAGCCTTGGGGTGGCGGGACCGCACCTCCGCCAGGGTTCCACGCCCCGGCGGCTCCATCCCCACCACGGCCACATCTGCAGGCGGGGCCTCAAGACCTGACAGTGAGTCCCATTTCAAAGTCAAAGTACCCCCCTGGGTGGGTGGTGACCCCGTTTACTTCTGGCGCAATTGAGGGCCAAGGGGTGGGGGGCCATGGGTTTGGCACCGAGAAAGGCAGCGGGGCTGCTGTGGCCTCAGGCCTGCAGCCGTGGGCAGGGCCACCGCGTGGGGAGCTTCTCTGGCCACCAGAGGTAGCTGTGCTGCCAGCACCGAGGCTCCCAGGGCGGCTGTGGCCCGGCAGGCGGGAACTGGGACAGGCCTGTCCCGCCCCCCGGGGCTGCACAGGGCCGTCGGGCACCCATGCCTTCAAGCCCCCTGGTTCCCACGCCCCCCACCCGGCTCTGCTTCAGAACAGACGCTATACACACGAGCCACTCCATCTCCAACACAACCGTCCTCTGAGCCCCAGGTAACACTAGTCAGCGACGAAGAGCCGCCCTGACGTGCCCCGCGGAGGGAAGGGGGCAAGGGTGCCTCTTCCGGGCCAAGCCCCACCTGCCACACAGCCCACCCCGGGCTCCCGGCGGACAAGGAGCTGACGCGGGTCACGGGTGGACACGTGCTGAGGAGGTGCAGGCATGTTCTGGGCCGCGGCGGCGCCAGAGTCTGCCGGGGAAGTGGATGCCGCCCCGCATCCGGCGGCCAGAGGGGGGCCCCAGCCGAGGCAGTGAGGGCGGGGCGCAGGGTGGCGGGAGGGGACCCCTCCAGTTACGGCAGTGGGGGTCCTGAGACCCTGCGGAGCGGGAGAGGTGGGGCAGGGCCCTGCGGCCTAAGGCCTTCCAGCACATTCTCTGGGAAGTGCTGTGACCTCCTATTTTTGCATAAAGTGTCCACCACTTAAGGCAGATCCAGTGGCGGACGGCCTGATGTGCGAGAAGACTGCCTTTTTTCTTGTTTTTAGTAAATTGTGCTAGGGATTCCTCCAATTTGTGATTTTTGTTTGTTTGTTGGCAAGCCACAGCTAAGAAGCCAGCTCCTGCCCTTCCTCTGCCTGCTTCCCCCACTGTGGCCCGACGGCTGGCCAGGGCACTCAGGGCGGGGACCCCGTTCCTGCCGCCGCTGTCCTTTGAGAGACCCACGTGTTTATCTCACGGAAGACGGAGCTGGTCACTTCAGGAAGCTCTTTGTGGAGGATGTGGTAGGCACCTTCGTAAATCTGCAATTAGGAGAGACAGGAAGTCATGGCTACCGCGAGTGACACATGTGGGCAAGGCAGCTGGGCAGCGGATGGAGAGGACCCCCTCTCCACGCACCCACGCCTGGGCAGCAGGTGGTCCTGCAAACAGCTGGAAAAGTCCCAACATGCTCATCAGATCCTTTCTTGAACCACTGTCCCCTCTCCACGCCACTCCCCCTCCAGCCTTGCCCCACCTGCGCCTCGTCTCCGCCCTGCGGGACCCCCGCTGCCCCTCACTCCCACCCGCCCACGGCGGTGGTCCCGAAACCAGCTCCACGGCCCTCACATCACGGTGGCCGGGGATCACATTCACTCTCGTAGGATTTGGCTTCTCAGCATCATTCAAAAGCTGACCCAGGGGAACCTTCCAGAAACACCTTCCTCCGTGGTTCCCACAGCTCTCGACCCTCCTGGTCTTGTTCCCGCCTCTCGGTCAAGGCTGCAGCACGCCGCCCTCCTGAGCTGCAGGCTGGTGCGGCCGACGCGGGGTCGGGCCTCTTTCCCCCTCTCCCCAGGAGCGCCGTCCAGGCCCCTGGCTGTAAAAACCACCCGTGTGCTCATGACTCAGAATCTGTATCTCCAGCCAGACCTCCCCTGAACTCTCCATGTGTCTAACCACCTGCCTACTTGCCATTTCAGCGATTTCCAACAGCTATCTCCAAGTGTGTTTGTTTTTTTCTTTAAACTGTAGTACACATCATATAACGTGAAATTTACCATCTTAACCACTTCTGAGCGTACGGCTCAGTGGTGTTAAGTATCTCTGCACGCGGTGCCATATTCTCATCCTGCACAACTGAACCCTGTCCCCGTTACAGCGCCCTCCTCCCAGCCCTTGAAAACACCACCCTACTTTCTTTTCTTTTTCTTTTTTCGGCTGCGCCACTCGGCTTGCGAGATCTTAGTTCCCTGCCCAGGGCCCCAGCAGTGAAAGTGCGGAGCCCTAACCATTGGACCGCCAGGGAAGTCCCTCTACTTTCTATTTCTATGAGCTTTGACTACTTTGCATATGTCATGTGCGTGGAATCACGCACTATTTGGCCTTCTGTGACCGGCTCATTTCGCTGAGCACAGCCTCCTCCAGGCTCACCCGTGTGGCAGCAGGCGTCAGAACTTCCCCCTTTTCGAGGTTGGAAAACATCCCCTTGCCTGGACGGACCACCTCCCCTCAGTGGGCACTGGGGCTGCATCCACCTCTTGGCTGCCGTGAACATGGGGTGGAAATATCTCTTTGAGACCCTGATTTCAATTCTTTTTCTGAATTTCAACTCTCTCTCGGGGGTGCCAACGTGGGACTTGCGGCTGGGACCGTCTCCCGCCGTGATGGGAGCGGCTTTCCTTCCCCTCCTTGCTCCTGCAGTTCGGCCGGGCCTCCCTCTGGCAGGGGTGTTGGGCCAGGGGCTGCCACTCTCAGCCGCGACGGAGGGGCGCTGGACAGTGCAGACACGTGAGAGCCTTTGTAGCACACCGCGCTGGGGCAAGCGGTGCGGCGGGCTCGGGGCAGAGAGCTGAGCACCAGTCCCGGCACCCAGGCAGCAGGTGTGGCACCTGCGGGGAGCTGCCGCGTTCCCTATAACCTAGCGGGAGGTGGCCCTCGACCGGGGTGTCCACTCGGCCGTGCCCAAGCTGGGGCGGCACTGTCCAGGGACACGTCTGTTAGCGCGTGTGCCCTGGGGTGGCGGTCTGCCCAGCGGACCACGCAGAGCCACCTTCAGGCTCTGCTGCCACGTGGCGGGGACACAGCCGGTGCACCTGCTCTCTCCCCATCCTCCAGCCAGGGGTCTTCCTGGTTCAGCCAGATACCCGGGAACTGCTCCACCTGAAACAGCATTTTCCATCCTGCTGTGCCTGACACGCCTAACGCTCTCCAAGGAAGACGACCCTTTCTGCCCGGAGGCCAGGTGCGGTTCTTTCCTTGACCGGACGAGCGACCAGCTAATGACTCTCGAGCTCCCACAGAATCAACAGACACCTCGTGCTCCTGGGACGTGCCTCCCCGGGGGCCAGGCCAGCCCTAAACCAAGGGTTCAGGCAGGTGCCCTAGAGGGACGTCACTCTCCCCGCCCCAGGGACGTGGGGCAGCTGCTCACCTTGAGCGTCTTGTCCTGGCTCTTGGCGGACTCCATGAGCAGGTAGGCGCCCCTGCTGTCACACAGGCGGTCGGCAGAGCCCTGCAGCAGCAGGAAGGGCAAGGTCAGCTTGGGCAGCGCCCGCTCCACCCTCGAGACGGCGTTGAGCAGCTGGATGCCGAAGCACACTTTCAGGCCTGCCCGGCAGATGAGGGGGTCCGTGTCGTAGATGTCCACCTGCGGGAGGAGAGAGACCGGAGCCCGTCAGTCCCTCGCAGTCCCTCCTGCTCTGGCTCTGAAGAGCCGACCCCGGCGGCGGGCCTGGGGTGGGGACCCCCGGTCAGTCCGGCCGCGCTGCCCCTGCTTCCAGCCTGCTCTGCGACCCCCCCATCCACGCCTGTGCCCTGGGATGGTTTCAGTATCAAGCTGTGGGTTTTCTTCACGTGAGCAGCATCATATGCTCGCTTTGATGAGTTCACACAGGAACAGCTCGGAAGATGTTTTGGTGTCAGTCTGAGTGGACTCTGTTTTCTCTAAGTCTGTCTGTCCTGACACAGTGTCCCCTGGTTGAAGAGGGCGAGGGGCACCCACGACTGCCGGGTCACAGGGCTGTCTGTGCGGGAACGAGGCCAGGGAAAGGCTTGGGCAGGACACCCCTGCGGGCTTCAGGACGTGGCTCCCGCAGGCTGCCTGCCAGCCTGAGAGGCAGGTCTGCTGTCCCCCTGCGCCTGTGGACGTGGCTGCCCCTCTGCCGGACACGCACAGCGGCCGGGCCCGCCCTCCTCAGCCGTCAGCCTGCCGGGACCTCCTCTGACACTGGCCTCGCCTGCAGCTGAGAACCTGACCATGCCCTTTGTGGGGGATACCCGGGCCCCATCCTTGACTTTCTGGCTTCCCTCCTCTTGGCCCAAGGGGACAGTGAGTGGCCTGCTTGCTGTGAGCTGAGGCGGGACACATGCCCACAGAACTCTCTGGACCATGACACCTCTTCCCTCACCTCTCTTTTCAAGAGCTGTGTGGTGTCAGGAGGGGTGAGGGAACAGAGGGTCAGCTGCCCGCGAGGAGGCTTGAGTGTCCACTGTGTCTCCATCTGACTCTCGGGCGGGGGCCGCGTCTCCCTGTGACGACTCCCCGCAGGGCCTCATCCAGGGTCCCGGGTCCACTTGGAGACGGACAGGCTGTCCCAGGTCCCCCACCACCCCGATTCCTCCGGAGCAGGCGAGCCAGGCCACTTGGGAAAAGCCACACGAGAAGAATGAGCCCCTTCCTGCAGCAGAGACGGCGGGCCTCCCGCGGGGCTGGGCCACCAGTCTGGGGGCCGAGAACATGGGAGCGGCAGGGGCTCCTTCAGGGTCTGCAAGGAGGGCTGCTCGGGAAGACGCGGCGGGGCCAGAGAGCCCTGGCTGCCGGGTGTCCCGGTGAACGAACGCCCAGGGCCAGGGCCCGCGAGGCCACCTCCTTCCTGAGCGGCTTGGCGCCTGCCCTGCTGGCCGCAGTGAAGCCCGGCAGGGCGTCGGCTCCGGGTTAACTGCTCTGACGGCCCAGGTGGCTTCCCACTCCTGGCTCTCTTCCCACGTCTGGGGCACGTAGGCGCTGTGTACACAATGGTCCATTCTAGACCTGGGAGGAGCGGCCAGCTGTGTCGGGGAAAGGGCAGGCCCCCATGCCAGCCACAACCGCGCGGGGTCAGAGGGGCTGCCGGGAAGGCAGGGCAGGGACCACCACCTCTCAGGTAAGCAGGCTCAGAAGCCCAAACCCTCCCCTAAGGTAACCAGCCCCGCCCAACCCCAGGGCCTTTGCTTTCTGAGGGCTTAAGACCTAAATCCACCGGAAGTTCTCCTAGTGGGGGAGGGTCGTGTCCTGTCCCCCAGGCAGGAGATGGACAGCGTTCTCCCTCCCAGCCCAGGCCAGGCCCAGAGCACCGGTCAGCAGCCTGAGCCCATTCAAAACCAAAGACCAAACAGTCGGTGCCCGAAGATCACTTACTGTGGGATTCCATCTCCACGACATTCTTAAAAGGACAAATTGGGGGCTTCCCTGGGGGTGCAGTGGTTAAGAATCCACCTGCCAGTGCAGGGGACACGGGTTCGAGCCCTGGTCTGGGAGGATCCCACGTGCCACAGAGCAACCAACCCCGCTCGCCACAACTACTGAGTCTGCGCTCTAGAGCCCTCGAGCCACAACTACTGAGCCTGTGCGCCACAACTACTGAAGCCCGCAAGCCTAGAGCCCGTGCTCTGCAACAAGAGAAGCCACCGCAATGAGAAGCCTGTGCACCGCAACAGAGTAGCCCCGGCTCGCCACAACTAGAGAAAGCCCGCGCGCAGCAACAAAGACCCAACACAGCCAAAAATAACTAAATAAATAAATTTATATTTAAAAAAAAAGGACAAATCAGAGAAATGTAGACCAGACTAGTGGTGGTCAGGCTTGAGGGCGTGGGGCTACAAAATGGCAACATGGGGTCTTTGTGGGGACAGCCTGACTCACCCCCGAGGGTATCCTGGTCGCCATAACCCTGTGGTTTTGCAGGATGTCAGCTCTGGGGCAAACTGGGCAAGGCACACAGCCCCTCTGAGTTACTTCTCACAACTGCACGTGAAGCAGAGATCTCAAAGCACAAGTTTAGTTGAAAGCACAAGGACTCGGTCTCTGGCGATCTCTCTTGTCCCCCTGTCCCCCATTTCTGGAGCACAGCCGCGAAGACATCAGCTGGAGGCTGTGGACCCAGGTTCAAGCCAGGGCATCTTTGCTCCAGGTGACCAACCTCTGGGGGTGTGTCCACTGGCTGAGACGTGAAGTCTTTTCTCTTGGGGGGAAACCCGGTGAGGAAGACCACCCAGCCCTGACGTTTCGCAGCTGTGTCATGTGGGCAAGGCTCTTCTCTCTGGGATGCAGTTTGCTGATCTGTGAAATGGGGGTGACGGTGGTCATGCCCCGGAGGACGCCGGGCTTCTGGATGGGACGTGCACCCTGGGGCCCAGGCTGGGTCTGCCCCACAGCGAGGCTAATGCCGTGCGGCTGCCTGACCCCAGCGCGGGGCAGCGAGCTGGGGCGTCACATTCCTCGGCCTGGGTTTCCCATCGAGGAAGGGTCCTCTTCCGAGCCCCAGCCTCTTCTGGCACCTTCCCTGTCGGGGGGTCTGAGGGCTCTCAGCAAGGTTGACTTGACAGCTGGGAACAGGCCAACTGGGGCGCCTGCCTTTTTTTTTTTTTTTTTGCGGGACGCGGGCCTCTCACTGTTGTGGCCTCTCGCGTTGCAGAGCACAGGCTCCGGACGCGCAGGCTCAGCAGC